GGGTTTCCGAGGGTGTAAATCCTTACGGGAGTAGAAAGCCTCATCTTTCTCCCGCGGAATGGCTGGTAGTTTCGAACCGCTGACCTTAAGGTTCGCAGCCCGATTCGTAACCACTACGCTACCAGAGACACAGACAATTTCAGCTTACACAAAGAAACAAGACACAGTTAAGTTAAACAAATGACCAAAATACAGAGTCAGAAAACATAACACCAAAAATGGTATTGGAACTACCTGAAAAGGAATTTAAAAGGAAACTTTAAGGGAGTGTGAGAAAAAGAGGAAAATGCAGATGAAATCAAGGACAATTTTGAAAAAACCTTAAAATAATTCAAAAAACAAACTGACAAAATAAACGAGGGGGGAGAAAAAAAGGACTCATACAAAGTCAGCAATCAGAAAGTGAGAAGATGCACAAATATTTCAAAAATAGGTAAAGAGGCAGAACTGTGGCCATGGGAAGCTAAACTACTAGCCTGAAGAAAAAGCTCTCAATATTATTATCTGCTAGTGGAACAATCAGAAAAAGAACAAAAAAATTCCAAAGAAAGCTTAAGATTTACATGGGATACTATCAAGAGGAATAACTTATCTGTGATTGGAATTCCAAAACAGGAAGAAACAAAGTAAAGCAAAAACAAAGAATATTGTCCAAGAGTAGTTGAAAGGAAACTTCCCGAACATGAAGAGAAGTCATTAATGAAGTTGAATGAACCCCAAACAGGATAGATCCCAAAATAAAAACACTAAGCATTATTATAATCAAACTTTTCAAAACCAAAGATAAGTAAAGAAGCCTGAGAGGAGCTCAGGAAAAACAAAAAGTTACCTACAAAAGAGAACTAATAAGACTAAGCTTTGAATTCTAAGCAGAAACTATGCAGGTAACAAGACAACGGAACAACATATATAAAACCCTAAAAGAAGAAAACTGCCACCCAAGAACAATAAATCCAGCAAAAAAAGCTGTCCAACAAATAATGGTGAACTGAAATTGTCATTTTCAGAAAAAAGAAGTTAAAAGAATTTGTAAAAACCAGGCCAACTTTACAAAAAACAAGGGAGTTCTTCGGACAGCAAATCAACAACAGCAGACAATAACCTGAGACTAACATACATGACAATATCACCTAGATTCAATCTACTTATGGAAGTATTCAAAGAAAAACAGACTTACAAGACTAAAAATAGAGAACCAGAGATACAGTTGCAACAACAAAAAACAAAGTAAAAAGTTACAGAACTTCAAGATGAAGAGCAAATCAAGTAGATTTCAAGAAAAAAAAAAAAAATTTAAACCTAACTGTAACCCTAAAGGCTAGATCAAGCCTTACTCCTAGCCCTAGCTGAACCCTTACTCCAAATATAATACTAATACTACAATAACCCAACAATAACCCTAACACTAAATGAAGTCCTGGGCCTAGCCTTGAACTAGTCTGTCCTACCTCTAACCCTCACTCTTTACTCTTACCTACCCCAAAGAACTTTCCACGAAGGACCACAGGTGTAACTTTATAGAGAATTGTTTAACAGAACTGTTGAATGAGTGCTCCCAGCTCCAACTCAAAGTGTATGGGCATAAAGATTTCAGTATATTCCCATTTATAAGCTAAAAGAAGATAAAGAATTGAAAACAAAACAAAACAAAAAACAGAAAAAGAAAACAACAAAAAGCTCCTAGTGGTTATGAATCAGGCTGCTAATCTTACAGTCAGCAGTTCAAAACTACTAGTTGTTCCATTGGAGAATGATGAGGCTTTCTGCTCCTGTAAAGATTTAAAGCCTTGGAAACCCTGTACAGGGTCACTATGAGTAGGAACCGACTCCATGGCACATAACAACAAAATCTTAGCGTTATATTCAAGTTACAAAATTGCTCTGACAAATAAAACATTATCACTTACCTTAATACAAATACCGCAACCAATACAAAGAGTTTCAGAAATCCAAGCTATTTTGCTCTGGGGTGTAACTTCTATGCATAGTTTTCCTAGAGAAAAACATAAAACAAAATCATTTTTCCTGATCTAATTTCCCAAACATTGTTATTTTGGTAATGCTGGCTCCAAACTTCTGTATAGCTGCAGTGTTTACAAAATAAAAGTCAAAACAAAAGAAAAAAACTCATTTGTTATAATGTCTTAAAATCAATGTTTTATGGGGATAATTTCTGAAATGAATGCCTTGGTTTTTACTTAGATGAATCCTGCTGTCAGGCTATGTTGTTTTAAAGTGTGGGTATAGATATATAAATACTGAACATATATAGATATATAAAGACAGAAGACCAAATGAGTTGTGAGATGACATCAAGAACATCACACATGAAGAAAGCAAAAAGTCATTAAGAAGACAAGAAAGAAAGAAAAGGTCAAAATGGAAGTCAAGAGATACTGAAACTTGCTCTCCAACGTAGAGATGCTAAAGCAAATAAAAGAAATGAGGAGGTCCAAATGGAAGAAATGAGGAGGTCCAAGAACTGAACAGAAAATTTCAAAGATCAGATCGATAAGATAAAGTCAAATATTACAACAAAATATGAAAAGATCTGGAGTCAGGAAACCAAAAAGGAAGAACACACTCAGCATTTCTCAAGCTGGGGGAAGTGAAGAAAAAATTCAAGCCTTGACTTTCGTTATTGAAAGATTCTCTGGGCAAATTATTGAATGATGCAGAGGGTATCAAGAGAAGATGGAAGGAATACACAGAGTCACTGTACCAAAAGGAAATGGTTAATGTTTAACCATTTCAAGAGGTAGCATATGATCAAGAGCCAATGATACTGAAGGAGAAAGACCAAGGTGCATTGAAGGAATTGCAAAGAATAAGGCACCAGGAATTGATGGAATAAAATTCAGGAAAGTGAGGTGGCACAGGAGGCACTCACTCATCTCTGCCAAGAAATGTGGAAGACAGCTATCTGGCCAACTGATTGGAAAAGATCCGTATTTGTGCCCATTCCAAGGAGAGGTGATCCAACGGAATGCGGAAATCATCAGGCCTTTGATATCCTATGCGAGTAAAGTTTTACTAAAGGTAATACGGAACGGCTGCAATCATACGCTGACAGAGAACTTCCAGAGGTTCAAGCTGGATTCAGAAGAGGCTGTAGAACGAGGGATATCATTGCTGATGTCCGATGGATCTTGGCCGAAAGCAGAGAACATCAGAAAGATGTTTACCTGTGCTTTATTGACTATGCAAAGGCTTTTGATTGTGCTGATCATGACAAGCTATGGACAACAGTGTTAAGTATGAGTGTTCCAGAACACTTAATTGTGCTCATGAGGAATCTGTACCTGGACCAAGAGGCAGTTGTTCGAACAGAACATGGGAACACTCAATGGTTTAAAACAAAGAAAGGTATGTGACAAAGTTGTATTCTTTCACCATACTTATTCAATCTGTATGCTGAGCAAATCATCCAAGAAGCTGGGTTATATGAAGAAAAACGTGGCATCAGGATTG